ACCATAATGTTGTCACTTAAGATTTAAAAAGAGAAAGAATCCCAAATAATGTACCACTTTAAGTTTAAGCCAGCCTTTTCCAAACCTGCACGAAATTCCCTGGGTATTCGGTAATGACATGCCAAATAGCTACAGAATATTTATATATTGTGATATGACGTCTGCTACTTATGATCACACAAGTGGGCGCACACGCTACTAATATCGTTTTGCTGGGTTTGCTGGTATTTACTCTGAGGTTTCGCTGGTATTTGCTCTGAGTGCATTAAGTTATTCCGAGTCTGTTCTGAGGAGCTTATCCATCATTTCCAGTCTGAACAGCGTGAGAAAGAAAACATCGGGAGAGAAAATGAGACAGCTGCTATTGAACAGGCAGAAACTGAATTTTTCTCCTCAAGCGAGATCAACTGACTCAGCACAGCGTGACATTAAGTGTTGTTGTTTTCCAAATCTAAATGTTTGGAGCTCTGCAAATAATCTTTTTAAGGAAATATCCCACAATTCTTCCTACAGGATATGAATACTGCTAAGCAAATTTATGATAGCTCTAATGCACTCAGAGATAATATTCTAAGACGGTGGAAATGTACAATGGCTGTTGCCTATAATATAATTACTTACCAATTATGGTATTTATAAATTCTAATAGGACAAAACAAATATTAGATAATTTTATAGCTAAAATATATTTGGACTTCTGAGTATCTCAGTGGATACAATAATGACCTATCATGAAAATCCAAAATTACATCTAGACATTGAATTAAAATCTAGACTTTGGACTAAATTAAACCCTAACTTTTTTTAAGAGATGTAGCCATGTAAGGATATTTTAATGTTTTTACTAGGCTAATGAGGTCTATATGGTTTTTATTATCGTAGATTGTACAGTTTAAACTGTTATGAACAGATATTTTCATAAGAACATACTGTATAAGAATATATCTGTATTTGTATTCATGATAACGCCACATATATCACCTGTAAACTTACATGTAGTTGCACAGCCATCTAGTGGAAGAAGAAAGAAATGCCATGCCACAGATCCGCATCTGTAAGGACAAATAGAGCAGTTTGGATTGTAGTTTTAAAACAAGAAGAAAATATTGGAACGGCTACTCTTGGGAAATTCTGGTGGGTTTTAGATTTGCCGTTTTCAATTTATGACGAGTAAGGTGTTAAGGACTGGTCAAAATTCTAGTGAAGAAAAAAAGTTTCTTATATAAGAGATTGTGTAAAGTGGCCTAAGCATTATTACAAAATAGGCTAAACTTCGAACAGTGTGATCAGGAGTCCTAAAGGGATTTATTTTGTTATATTTATGAACAGCCCACTGTACATTACTCCACGGTTATTTACCAAATAAATTATTGATTTCAGTTGAATATGATTTATTATCTTTATTATCTATCGGCTATGCTAAAAAAAAAAAAGTCAATAGCAACATAGAAAACATTGGCCTAACAACAAAACGAACACTGCGTCGATTAAAATATCAATTTATATGTTACCACGTTACTTGTCTTCCTCTAAGCTCCTTTACTCCTGTTTGTTGTCCAATCTTCTCATTTATTTGCTCATTTTGACACAAAATTAGCAATTTGTTTGAATAACAAGAGTGAGAACGACAATAACTAGAGAAAGACGGCGGAGTGATACACGTGACACATGAAAGTAGCGCAGACGTTTAACAGATCGGTTGCATGGATAGGCCTACTTGCAGTGTTGAGAAAGTTACTTTTAAAAGTAATGCATTACAATATTGCGTTACTCCCTAAAAGTTAAGAGTCCCTAGAGTTACTTTTAATGTAAAGTAATGCGTTACGTTACTTTTGAGTTAGGGCCTACTTTTTAAATCTGGGCAGGGCTTGCTTGTAAATTTGTTCTTAATATAAAAAAAGTTCTTCTTTTACAAATGTAAAAAGCCCTTTCACAACAGACGTGAAATGAACAATCCTCAGGCTGAAGGAAATGTAAATTTATGTCTGTAAAGTAGAGGGCGCAGCTCAAACAAATTAAATAATAAATACAAAATAAAAAAATAATATTCTGATTTTGGATTTGACTGTTTTTATTCATTTTGAGGAATACTAAATCTGTTTTTGTGCAGGTGAGATGAGTAAATACATGTTCATACTTAGTCTAGAACTACAGTAAGCATCATGTTCACAGAGCACGCACAATACCTCTGCACTTACTCCGATTACTCTCAACATGGCAACACGAGAGCTGTCAGGCAAGACATGGGAAACAAAGTAACTGATATTTCCTTCTAAATTAAAAAGTAATGTGTTACTTTACTAGTTACTTTAAAAAAAAGTAATCTGATTACGTAACTTATGTTACTTGTAATGCGTTACTACCCCCAACATTGCTGTTCTCGTTATTTCCCTACAGCGGCTAATAAATCGGAAGTCTCGCACATTCACAGAAAAAGACATGTTTGTGCTTGTGTCTTAACGGTGTTCTATAACGTGATGCTCAAGTTAAAAGAAGTTCGAATTAGGAAAAAAAAACATGCTTATTCATTGTTTTTCTATGCCAACATGTGCTAGACAGACGTGTTTGACCGTTGCACTCACGTCTCCTAGCTTTTGCAGTGTCTTGCACATGACACAACGTTTTAAAAACATGGCACTCAAGTTAAAAGTTCAACTTTAAAAAAAATGCATCTTGAGGTCTTTTTTTGACCAATTCACTGTCCGCATCTCACGTTCAACTTTTAAAAGCACTTTTTTTTCTCCCCCATTGCCCAGCAACTTGAATTTTTGCATTCCCCTCTGCTGCGCTTTCATTGACTTTCTATGTAAACATGCTCTAAATGGACTTGTTTGATGGCTGTGCTCTCGTCCTGCATCTTTTGCAACATCTCGTGCATGACATGGCTCTTAAGTTAAAAATAAGTTCAGCTTTTAAAAAAACGTGCGTCGAGACCTTGCATTTTTTCCATTCCACTGCCAGCCTCTCGCAGTTTCAAGACAAAAACACAAAAACCAATGACCTTTGCGCTCGCATACTGTATTTTGCAATGTCTGGCACATTACACAGTGTGCACTCAACTAAAAAGAAGTTTGACCCTTTATAAAACAAAGCTTTTCCACTGTTTTTCTGTTAACATGCCCGAGACGTATGTGTTTGACCATGTGTTTGCACTTATGTCTCGCACATGACATTCTAAAAATGTGACACACAATTTAAAATTTAAACTTTTTTTTTTCGGCCATTGCACTCTCATCCTGCACGTTTTGTAGCATCTTAACCTTTTCCCATTCCACTTCCCGCATCTTATGTTTTTTAAAGCAAAAACATGTTCTGTGTTAATGGCCCCTTTTTGTGCTCATTCTTGCATATTTTACAGCATCTTGCACAGTGTTCTAAAAACACAGCACTCAAGTTAAAAAAGTTTGACTTTTAAAAAAAGTGCTTTTCCATTGTTTTCTATTAACATGGTGGATGTGTTTGACCGTTGCACTCGAGTCTCACATCTTTTGCAGTCTTGCACATCACACTGTGTTCCAAAAACACACTGCTCGAGTAAAAAAGTTTGATGTTTAAAAACATGGTTTTCCATTGTTTTTCTGTTAATATGACAGCCCAGAGAGCACATGTACGTCTGCAAGATGTCTGTTAAAGATCTCTCGATCTGGAAAGCATCTGCTGTTTACAAACATCTGACAGATGTCTTTAAGATGTCAGTTTTACATACATTCTAAATCATTAACATCTTAAAGACATCTAATAAACGTCTATTTGACATCTAATAGGAAACGTCCTATAGGCGTATTGCAGATGAGGAAATACTCTGAAAAATACATCTTGCAGTAAACGCAGATGTCAAATAGACATCTCCGAGATGTATGTGTGCTATCAGGGAGACGTGTTAGATCGTTGTTTTCACGTCTTGCATCTTTTGCAGCATCTCACATTACACAATTGTCCAAACATGCGGCACTCGAGTTAAAAGTTTGCCATCCAGCAGACAGGTTAAAAGTTCAACATTTAAAGTGCATACTTTGCGGTTTTTCCATCGCTTTGCGTCTCGCATTTTTGCATTCCCCTTTGCTTTCATTGTATTTTCTATGTAAGCGTGTTTTTCATAGCGTTTTGTGTAAATGGCCCCTAACATGTGAACATCTCAGAATGCACTGCTTCAGTTCTCTTGTCCACTTTCTTGACCTGAAATGCAATTGAGATGCCAACTCCTAGAGACACTGACAAAATAAATTAATTAATTAATTAACATAAAAACAGTTAATTTTAGTTGAAATTATTTTATCATGTGAGAAGAGACATCAGAATGTCCAGGAACACAGAATTCAATCTCCTGATCAACATGTCAGTGTTTACTTTGCGACACTGACCATCTAACTGTACATTATTCTGCTTATTATGGCTCTTACCTATAATGGACATGGACAAAAATATTGATCTGAATATAAATTGTTCCGTTATTCCTTCTACAGACCACATAGAGTCACAAGTACAACTATGTTGTTTTCCAGAATGTTATATTTTGCTTTGATCTAAATTAGGGCTGCACGATAAATCGCATGCGATATTTAACGCGCATCTTATCAGTAAAGCCGGTTCTGTAATCAGCGGTAAATCTCCATCATGTGCGTGCTTTCACATTGAGCAGCATTAACTACACAGAGCCGTTGTTCACTGACGAGCTGCGCAAAACCACGTTCATATTCGCGCGATTTTTTGCGCAGCTCGTCAGTGAACAACTAAATGTGAGGTTGGAACATGCCAAAAAGGCATCCTAATTTTGAAATGATAAGTTGACTCTCCATACTACATGCCATACAACTATGACTCCAAGCTCCATACTACTATAATGTTGTGGACTGGTGGGTGGTAATTAAATGTCATATAAACACATGGTCAATGATTCAGTAAACTCCATTAGGTTACACGAGAAACCTTTAACTAGTCAGAACTACAGTTTTACTACAATACCCACAATCCAAAGAAGAAAACACTTCCGGTGAGTCAGCTGCGATTCAGGAAGTACATCCATTATAGTGACAGGAACAACATCACGGGACTCTCATTGCACTGAGCAGATTAATAAAATATTACCTGTAACCGATCTGTACACACCTGTAATATAAGACAACATGTCTAGGCAGTCGAACAGAGCCACGGACAGCAAGAAGATGGTGAGTGTGTCTTGTGTTTCCGCAGAACTGAGCTAAATGCAGGGCAGCTAGCTAACATGCTATTATAATAATCGGAAAATAAGTTTATTTGAGCAGTGTTTGTTTATTTGCATACAAATAAATATAGCGTAGGATACATGTTACCTAGAGGTGCATTAGCTTATTCCTCTAGTTAAGTGATTTTTTTGCACAGACATGAGACTTTCAGTCAGTCGGTCAATCGTGGCTGGCATTTGAATTAAAAATCTTGTGAAATGCTAAATGCTTTTTTTTTTTTTTTTTATAATAGTTTGAGGGAATTATAATGATATAGTCCCATTGGTTAGAAAGATACATGCTTTCATAGCATTATGCATTGTGTGTCATACATTTTGTTTTAGCACAAGTATTATTGCACTGGGTAGTAGGTTATATGAAGTATTGATACACTCTCAACACGGACTAAACAATACAGTAGTGAAAGCAGAGAAAATGTATCCAGATGTGTCATGCAAGCATTAGTAGAAATGACGTTTTGGCTACAATTTGGCATGGAACAATTCATGTCTGTGACAACCCCATATTGTGCCGTGAGAGGGCGCTCAAGACCACTCTGCCCTCATTCATTCAGTCCTGAATATTACCCATGATGATATGATACACTATTTGTTTTTTGTTTTTGTTTTTTTGCAAATTGTGACCCTGTGAACCCCTTGTACTCCTTTTGAAGCATGATGTGCTATTTGGATCTTCTGAAATCATGCAGCAGAGCACAATCTTTAGGTTGTAAGTTCATGCAGACCACGTGCTTCTGCCATTAAAGAAAAAGGGGGCTATTACAAGTATCTTCAATGTTAATGTTTCGCTCAAATTATTATGCTTATAATAAATGTTGAAATAAAAAGCAGCTGTATTAATTTACAAAATGCATAATAGAAGCATTTCACTAGAGATCTCAGACATTTGGACCCCACTAAAAGACTAAAACATGCTAGTTTCCTGCTGTTATGAAATTCCCATTTTCTTATCTAAGAAAAAGAATTTTAAAACATATATTGCTCTTTTTGTTTCGTTTTGTTTTATTTAGCAAGTACATAAAGATGGTTCACTGGCATGTTGGAATTTTTTGTATAGTAAATGGGAATTATTGTAAGGAAAATAATGATCTTCTGTACCAATTCTTGTTTCATTAAAAACATTACAGTTACATTTAGCTGTTAGCAAAAAAAAGCACAAAAAAAAATGGCTACATTATTATCTAATGAAATATTTGGATCTATGCCAAAGAAAGTTTTGCATTATTGTTGTTGTTGTTGTTTTGTATTTGCATTCATTGTCAGTATTAACAGTGGTTAACCAGTAAACACAGTGAATATTGTGAACATGGTGGTGGGTAATTTTGGGCTGTCTTGTCTCTCCCTTGAACAGAATTCAGAATTATTCACTCTCACTTATGGAGCCTTGGTCACTCAGTTGTGTAAGGACTATGAAAATGATGAAGAAGTCAACAAACAACTGGATAAAATGTGAGTCTGTCTTTCTCTATTTCTCACCTATCCATCCAATCTGGTCACATTAAACAGAGTTTACAAATTACATATTTTTTTTCTCTTTTCTAAGATAGAAAAGATTTTCTGTAGATTAAACAGTCTATGAAAGTGTAAGGATTAGGTGCTGTAACTGGTCACTTTTTTTTCTTTTCTTTTTTACGTTTGTCACTTTCCATTATTCAATTTGTATGAGTGGAACAGAGAGGGTTTAATGTGGATGTTGTATTGTCAGAGTTTGCGCTGGGTGTAGGCTGTTATATTAGGTGTGGTGATTGTGCCATCCAGCCTGCTGAAGTTGGGTTGGGTGGTATGAAGAGTATAAAATGTGCCACTCTAGGTTTTTGAAGAGCTGTCTCTCTCCCCGCCCTGTTAAATGAATTGTGCAGCTGTAGGTTACACCCCTGGTTTTTCAGATGCATGATTCTGTTCCCCCACTTGGCTATACTTCTCAAATTCAATTCCACTGTTAGAGTGGATCCAGATGGATGAGAGTGTTGATGGTCTTTTTTTTTTTGTATTAGCAAGTTCACATCTCATGTTGTACTGCACCGATTCTTTCAACTGGTGGGTTGCACAGCAGGAAAAATCAATAATAAAATGTATGTAAACATGTAGACTATTGTTCAGAAGTGTATTATGTTTTTAAAAGAAGTCTCTTATGTAAGGCTGCATTTATTCAATCAAAATACAGGTAAAAAATAGTAATATTCTGAAATAGTATTACAATTTAAAATACATGTTTTCGATTGCAATATATTTTAAAATGTAATTTATTCCTGTGATGGCAAAACTGAATTTTCAGCATCATTACTCCAGTCATTACATGATCCTTCAGAAATCATTCTTATATGCTGATTTGATGCTCAAAAAAAACCAAAACGTATTATTATCAATGTTTTAAACAGTTGTAATATTTTTGCAGAAACCGTGGTACTTTTTTTAGGACCTTTGGTGACTAGACAATTCAAAAAACAGCGGACCCCAAACCAGTATATAATTAAAATAAATAGCCGTATCAAGTTTTCAAAGGAAAGAGAAAAGCCTTCCATGTCCAATCAAAATCTCCATCTGTCACTTGGTAGAAGCTAATCAAAATTAGGCATATTCCAATGCACTCATCCTCAAAACCTTGAAGTAAACTACACAAGGTAAAAAAAAATAAATAACCCACACTACAATGTGTGTCGACTACAATGTGTTTTCACTTATTTTCTTGGGTGTTAATTGCACTGAAATCTCACTCAGTACATTTACATGCACTTACTGAAATGTAGTTATGAATATTTTTCTGCACTAAAGGCTGTGCATATCTCATATTAACCATCCAATTTTTTTCTAGTCATAATTTTGCATATTATTGGGCCTGTGCAAAAATTATTATTATTTTTTTTTTTTTTTGAGTAAGTACATATTTGATACTTTTATTTGTAGAAATATTTTGGTACCGTGTTGGGTCACCACTTGATGTCCAGTGTAAAATCTGAGCCCTGAATCAAAACCAGTCAGGAAGCTCTGTTTTAAAGATTGTAGGAAAAGCAGTGAGGATGCGTGGAAATCCCTCAGATGCTTGGAGTCCAGCAGCTGTGATTTAGAGAATCAGTGGGCAGTGTGTGTTCTTTGGCTGAGTGGTCTTTTCATTTAAACCATGCCTTGAACTAATCCAGTAGTCCCACTGATATTGGGTTTGGCAACATGTCTGAAATACAATCTTTTTTTACTCTTGCTTCTTTAAAGCATCAAATATAACATAAGCAAAAGCAAGATTTGACTTTCTCTCCATCCAACAAGTTTGTATCTCTCCTTTCGAGTGCTTGAAGTTAAAGGGCTTCACTAAGACCTTCAAAGTAAAAAGAGATTATAGTTCTTATGATAGCGTTGGTGGGTGAAATGAGGGCGATTGAAAGTGAAGTTGCTCGGACAATGACACAGTTTCCCTTCTCTTCTTCCATCCTTTCAAGGGGATACAATATCGGAGTGCGTCTGATTGAGGACTTCTTGGCTCGGTCTAGTGTGGGGAGGTGTCACGATTTCCGAGAAACGGCAGATGTCATTGCAAAGGTAACGTGAGTACTTGGAGCCAATCAGAGCGCATGCTGAGCCCTCCCTTAGGCCAAGCGAGAGAGAGAAATAGAGAATCAGGAAGCAGGCAAGCATGTTAATGCGCAAGCAAGTGACTGGAATTTGAACTTCAACCTGCAGTAGCCCACATATTTTCTTAGCTTTCATCACATCTTTCTAGCGTTTTTAATTTTTCAGAGTCACACAGCTTGAGAAACATCCACGCTATGCTATCGCAAAGCCAATTGGCGGGCCGTTTGTGCGGCATTAGAATGAACCGAGACACTCGTGTTCCTCTCGGCTTGTTTTCTTTGGTCTGCGAGAGCCACAGACTGCTTTTTTACGAAACAATGCACCTCACCCTAAGCGTATAGGGTTCTCACTGACAGGATTGACAGAGCGTTCTTCCCCCTGTCCGTCACCTGTCCATGCTTGCTTGGTCTCTGTCTGTCTCTGTCTGTCTGTTCTCCTTTCTTCTGTTTTCTCTGTCTTTCTCTCCTCACTTTCCTCCACGTGTGCCACGTTGTGGAATGTTAATCCAGAATGCATCGGTTTGCTGGGACCCTGATCAGAATCCTAAACCTGTGGGTCTTAAAACAATTTTTATTAAGTCACGGAGGGTTATAATGTGAAGAATTTTGTTTAGTTGTTTATGGTTGCTGAGCAATGCAGTGACTGGGAGCGTTAATATAGAATTCAAATGATGTGCGCTCACAGTTGTGTGTATTTTGGCTATTTTACAGCTTTAAACAGGGCACATCCATTCTGAATTTAGGATGAAAGCCTTTTTATTATGGAGTTACTTATTGTGAAGCTGTTTTTGCACTGATGTTCTGAGGATGTAAGGGATTCACTGTACTCAAATTCTGTTTAATATAAGCCAGAAATTGTTTTCATTATAATATTCATTCATTTTTATTATTGCCTTAAAAACTAAAAGGTATTGGTTTAAATGCTCCAAGCAGTTTTAATTTTTTTATTTAGTTTTTTTATATATAGTGTAGTATTATTTATAGACTATTATATATATATATATTTTTAATTGCTTTTATTTTTATATTTTAGTCATTTTAATTTTAGTTCATGTTTTAGTAAGTTATGTGCATTTGTCATTTTATTAGTTTTGGGGTTTTTAATATTTATGTAATAGCTATTTAATTTTTATTTAAATTGTAGTTTTAGTGATTTCAACTTAACCTTGTTTAGTTCAATTAGTTGCCATTTCTAATCTTCTTTAGGTTTTTTTTAGTTGAAGCTTTTCATCTAGTATTAATATTTTATTTTATTCCAGCTTTGTTTCAGTTATCAATTTTTTTATTTTATATTTAATAGTTCACAATAACAGCACTTGCAACAAGTGATTTTAGACATTGCAACATCATAATGTACAGTATGAAAAAATAAATATTAATTTTGAGATTTGATTGAGAAATTAGCTACATACTTGTAAGTAAACGTCCAATATCAACTGATGTCAATTTAAAGAAAGCAATAATAATAATAAAAAATGTAGTATCAGCCTATAACCAAAATGGTGCAAACCTTGTGTTCTACCTTGTTTGTAAGGTTTCACCCAGTTTGTGTCCAGGTTTCTAAAATAAAAAGAAAACATTGTCAAATCAGTAACTTTCATTTTGATATATTTAATTCTACAATTGTTAATAGTTAAATGGTTTTTAATTTTAAAGTTACTTGAATTGCCAGCAAAAATTATCACATTGTGATATACTGTTAGTGTGATGTAAAATAATCAAGATTTTGGTCTTCTTATGACCTGTCCTCAAAACGTCTTTTCAAACCCGTACTGTGCAGTTGTGCAAAAAACAAGTCATTTCAGTGTCAGAGTCGTGAATACAGCACCTAAAAAGAATGTGGCAGCTCTGCAAAATCACTTAATGTGGCCCTGACATCATAGATGTAGGCAAGCGAGTTAACATGAAGACTCAAGAGCCTTTTTTGTCTTCACATTAACAGGTAGCCTTCAAGATGTACTTGGGTGTCACCCCCAGCGTGACCAACTGGAATCCTGCTGGAGATGAGTTCTCTCTTATCCTCGAAAGCAACCCCCTGGTGGACTTTGTAGAGCTTCCTGACAACCACAGTAATCTAGTTTACTCCAGCCTGCTCTGTGGAGTGCTGAGAGGAGCTCTTGAAATGGTAAAGAGTATGTTTGCGTGAGATGAATCGATGATCTTCTGCTAACCCTCAATTACCATTCACACTAAAGTTATTTTTCTACTCCTGTAGGTTCAAATGGCAGTGGATGTGCGATTCGCTCAGGACACACTAAGAGGTGACAGTGTGACAGAAATTCGCATGAAGTTCATCAAAAGGATCGAGGAGAACCTGCCAGCTGGAGATGAATGAGACTGAGAGACTTTTGATTCGAGAGACTTTTTTTATGTTGGATTGGGAACCAAAAACTTGGTTTGTTTTGGTCAAGAAGACCAACCAATCCCCAAACATTGTAAGTATTGCAATGCGAATTCACCGTCGAGAAGATTTCTCTCGATGTGTCACCAAGGTTGGCATGTTCTTTCCACCTGGTCCATGTTTTTTATTTCATACAAATACCTTCTCAAGTCTCTTTTTCTATGTCAGTTTGTCTGTAGTGTATTTCTTGTTATTCTTTTTGCATTTAACTAATACATATGGCACAGAAGGTTTAATTTATATAGTCAAGTATCGTAATCAGATTGAATAAATCATTAACTACCAACAACTGTGGCCAATCCCCTCATTTATCGTTCTTCTACTCAATAGGCCTTTGACACAAACTAATATTTACTCAAAGTTGCAATAAAGCGCTCATTTGAGCGGACCATATCACACTGCTGTTTTAATGTCCATAACGCTTGTATCAAAAACAACTTTAGATGGCTAATCTAAAACCAACATTTGAAGAAAGGGCCCCATGTTCGCCAAGAACAGAGCCGTAGTCTTTTGAGACGCACATGTTTTGTAGAGGACCAGTGGTGTTAAGGGGAGTCTGGGAGGGGTCAAGGTATGTAGATAATGGGACCTGTGTGCGCAAAGCCTGTGGCAGGTCCCTCCACACGTATGTAATGAAGTGTCACGGCAGCCCCCATCGCCGTCTTCGACTTGTCGTGTACTGGCCCTTGCATCGTGGGACTGTTATTCCTACAGCGCGGCAGCACGATGTGGTTAGAGTTAAACAACAATAACAAGGGCCTAATTCGTCTCAGATGTTTAATCAAGCAACGTGGAAGCACTCAGGGCCTGGAGGTTCACTGGTGCGTGTGCAGGACAGGGCTGTTTTGGGAGCCAGTGCGTTTTAATGGTGTAGCCGAGGGGGGTCACGGTCATGCTGACCAGTGGGAAGGGGAAGGCCGTTCGCTGAAAGCCATTCATTTCTCCGGAGCAGCTCAAAGTTCGTTCCTGACACCTGTTAATCGCCTTACGTCATGATCTGGGCTTCTTTTTCCAGAATTCCACACCTCGTCAATCACAAATGAAAAGAAGTTTACTGCTTCTACTACTACTTCCCATCAGCTAGTGTATGGATTCGGTTTTATAAACTTTAGCCCTTTCAGATGCAGTTTCCATGTGATTTGATTCGCACTGATGTGTTGAATAATGCATTCATTGTGTAAGTGTATTGTATTGTTACATCAAGCCACTAGAGGTAGCTGTGAGCATTGTGGTGGGTGACCTTTTTTTCTCTTTCCATTCTCATGGATTTTTCTGTGTTTCTCTTTAATTTGGTATTTGATTGCTCACGGGGTCCACCAACTGCTTGTTTTTGAATCTCTGGGGCTGGGAAATTATTTTGTGGAATATATTCGCTCTTGATTCAGGGACATTTACAAGAAAAACAGTGGAAAATGTATGCATAGCCCTGTCAGGCCGAATCCCTCGTCCCCTCTCGCTAGATTATGCATACAATGTATGTATTCTGTACAATGTGTATATTGGAAAGCGAGGGAAGAGGAAATGGTTTCGCGCAGACATTTGATGTAAATCATTTGGCAGAATTAGACCCCTGTATCATGGGGATATACAGCTGGGATTGTGTACTGCGTGAAAACTTGTATCACTCTTCCATATGCTCTCAGGAATTTCTCTCGCTCCTTCTTTCTCCCATCTTAACAATGCAGGATATCTCCTTGGCCAAGCATCCGAAACAAAGTGATGTGTCAGTATTTATTAACCATCACGGTCACCTTTAACCAATATGAATCTCGGCATGAGAAGAAGAATGGACTCCAGACTATAAGATGACCTCCTCATCATCTTTCTTATACTGTATGTTTTTTTTTCTTCTCATCTGTATGAGCTGCTCATATCGGTGTGACCACCATACTAGGCCAATACTGAAATCCTTCATGGAGAAGGCACAAAACAATTCCAAGAAGCTCTTTTCCACCATAAGGAATTGATTTTTACAAGCTATTTTTGTTGCATGTCTAAAGGCAGGTCAATGGCAGCAAATGAAAGAAATGACGCCTGAAACTTCAAGCAGTTTTGTGTAAGTTATGTTATATGCATCGGTTTTTAATTGGATTTTTAGATGTGGATATTGCACTTTAAAAATGAATGTGAGTGTTCAGTCGATTGTGGAGGGGATTGGTTTGAGCAGACTAAATAATTGTAGAAGTTCTGCATGCATTACCAGAGATGAGTCATTTTCGCAGAACGTTCCAATTTTGATATTCTGATTAAACATCACAAAGGTCAAAGCTTTAAAAAATGAAATGTATGCACGGATGAATTGTTCATAATATCTATAACATGCATTTAGAAAATAGATGGGGTCTAATTTTCATATCATTCCAACGTTAACAAGAATAGCTCATTCAAAAATTAGTTTTGTATTTTTTTTAATTTACTTTCATGTGTTTTAAAACCTGTATGATTATTTGTTGTCCACAGAATGCAAAATTAGATGTCTAGCAGGATGTCCAAGATGCTCTTTTGCATGCAATGAAAGTGAATGGTGACCAAGACTGACAAGCAAGATTTTCCGTAAATATCATCTTAATTTTCTTTTTTTCATACTGTGGAAGTCTTATAATTACATGTAGTGCATATATAGTGAAATATTGTTAATGTGAACTACATTTTTGGTGCATTTATGCCCTTTATTGTTCTTTTGGAGCTTGACACAGTACTTGTTACCAGTCCACTTTCGTTATATGGAATAGCGCAGAGTGAACATTTTTCAAAACATCTCCTTTTGTGTTCCACAGAAGAAAGAAAGCCATACGGGTTTGGAACAGCATGAGTGTGAGTAGTAACTCATGACAGACTTTTTATTTTAGGGTGACTGTCCCTTTAAGAATTTTATTAGGACAGTTCTATCATACAAGTAGCAAAAGTTACGTATGCTGCAAACGAGACGGTACACACCAATCTCATTTAAACCCTCTAAATGCAACCATGTGCCCTATATCAGAAACAAATGCTGATTGGCACGCTGAAACAATAAAATTCTGCGAATGGCCTGATGCTGGCTCACCATTATTGAAGCCCCCTCATCCATTCTTCCGTCTTTCTTTTCTTCTCACTTTCTCTCTCTGATTCTTCCACTGTATCCCCCACTTTCAAGCCTTGCCAGGACGAAAGCATTGGCAGCGAGATAATGGGAGGTCAAAGGAGGGAAACAGAGCAGGGCAAGACCGAGTGCGTTTCAAAAACACACCTTGTGGGAATATCAACATGCCCTGGAGCGCGGAGAACCGACCCAATGCTGGAGAGCCATCACAGCCCGTCGCATGGTGTCCAAGTCTCCCACAGCTGTTCTGGAGCACAAAGGAGATGACACACGAATGGATGATCTTCCATGTCTCGCAGGAACAGCAGCATGCACACTGTTTCCAGTAAAGGTCACGAGACAGTAAATCAAAGGATCCGAGATGGAAATGCAACAAACCCTCTTGTCTGAGGTAATTCTCAGAAGTCAAGAAAAGATGTAATTAGATCCTTGAGGACTTTTCCTATTAGTCCTCAAACATTTGTTTGTTTCTTATTTATTTAATTCATAAAATCTTATGTTGAACAAAGATTTTTCACTTTTTTTAGACACCCCTATTTACAGGATTATCTTGGATAGGTCACCATATTTATAACATGTAAAATGTGCTACTTCCACTTTCCCATGACTACTGCTATATGCTGATCTGAATCAAACACATCTGGGACAAATAGAGAGCATAACTCCTCTGCCTCACACAGCAACCTCTGGACCTGTTGCCAATGTCTTAAATGGTACTTGAAAGGTCATCTTTTTCCATTGTATCCCCAGACTAATAGATCATATCACAGTGAGTTTCAGTATTTTGAGAGGATTGATGGGAATTATTAAAATAATTAATTTAATTGCTTAATTTCAGTAATATGCCATTGTTTACTTAAGGTTATATGTTGTTATGTACTTGTATAGTGGCCCCAAAGAAAAATTGAACACTTACACCAGACTTAAAAATGACTGAATGTTATATAACAAAATATCAAACCAAGTAGAATTTACGCAAACAACTATAAGTGGATCTTTCCTCGTGAGAGAAACAAATGTCCATGTGCAGGCACTGACATAGATTTTAGTATTTAAAAAGCCATACAGGGCAACATATTAAAAAGCACCAATGCATATCAGCCCAAACAGTAGCATTTATTTTAAAGAAACATAGCACAAACACACTTTTCAAGGAAAACATTTTAAGGTTTACATGATACAACTGTTCAAATGCACATATGTGGTAGCATTCTAGTTGTCAAACATTAGTGGACCATGTTCGTAGTTAATGTGATGAACTACACCTGCAGTTACTCTGTTAGAACATCTGTGTGCACATGACTTAAGTGTCCAAAAACATTTGGGACCACTCTTTGTTTATACGGCAAAAGAAAGTCCTTAAATTTCGACCTGTATGACTATTGAGTACACTGTAAAAAAATAAGTGTAATTTTAACTGTAAAATTTTGTAAAAACGCTACGGAAAAAAACTGTTAATAGGTTAACAGCTAGTTCCCGTACTATATACAGGGAAAAACTGTAGTGTTTGTAAATTACAGTTTTATACTGTAATTTTTGTAACTGTTTTTGGACGTAAATGTGTTTACAGTTTTTCTGTATTTTTTACAAAATTATTCTGGCAACCATAGCTGCCAAAATTATTTTGTAAAAACTACAGAATTTTTTTTACAGTGTAGTTCCATGTTTGTTGACCGAATTAAAGTTGCATATCACTGTGCCATGTTCAGTTTTAGCTGTTTCTAGACTAAAGGTGAGGAAGTAGTTCTATACACAAGAGCATTTTAGGAATAAAACCTGAAAATGTCTTTAGATAAACATAAACATTTGGTAACTGGTTCAATGGTGTATGCTTAATGTAGTTATACTTATTTTTGCCGTTAAGTGACAGGATACACTTACCTCACTCAGGTCTGCACAAAGCTGCATTAATGTATGAAAATGCATGCTGTTCATTTGTATATTGACATTGCAGACTGGACAGTTCTATAAAATCAAACCGAGCATGTTGCAAACTAATTACTGAGTTTTCCAACGAATGACATTTCTTGGATACATAATTGTCCACATGTTTTTCTCAAAGTCTCTGTTTTAATTAATATGGCTTCTTTTGGAAAACCAAACAAAGCATGACACAGCACTCCATCACCTGAACATGGCCCACTGGTGATGTTATTACTAGTCTGCTTGACATGAATACTCCCCCACGTCAAAGCTGCTGTTCCAATCGAGCAGTCAAGTATGTTTTGAGTTCTTTATTGTGTAATAAACCAGGTCCAGGACCAGACCCACCCTTTTAACCCATTTTGAACGCGAATGAGGTTATAACAGCCCAGTCTTTCACTGCAATAAATGCACATACACTCCGGAGTGGAGGTCTGGGTGGAGGTCTAGTCATATTTCGGTATGCTCGCTTGAAGAATCACAATAAAGCTTTTTCATT